TACTCAATGCATAGAGTATTATTGTTGGACTGAAGGCCCAATCAAGAGCCCTATGCAGGAGCTAGCTTAAATACTACACAATAGGGCAGCTTTTAAGCTAGTTGTATAATTATGGTTAATTTGTCAAAGAGTAGACTTCTTGATAATATTTGCCTGGGGAGACAATATCAAATGTACAAGTGTCTGCAGCAGGGATTAGCTAGCTACTCTAGCCAGTAGCATACAGAAGGGAGGAAGAAGAGGGTATGACAACCCTGAGTATCCATATCAGGAGGGTATTTAATGAAAGAGTGAAATAAAAATTTAGTTTATGTTTAATTTGAATGAAGTGTTTATTTCAGGTTTCATCTGTTTTTACATATTTAAAATATCTTCCTTTCTCACTATTAGGCCCTGTAGGTCTCTCTTCTTGAGTCTTAGGGGAATACAATCAAGGATTTGGCCTTGGGCATCACCAAACCTCTGCATGTCACAAGCCCTAACAAAAAGATGTACACAGATATTAGTGGCCAGCCATAAATGATGATAATAATAATGATTCTTTTAGGAAATTCACACAAATGGATTTTTTTTTTAATGATTTATTATTAAATTATTTTGTCATCTGTGAAAACACTTTCCAAATATTTAAACTTTGGAACTTGAATGATTTTGATATGTCCAATTCATAGCTTTTGTGCTATTTCTCTTGTTAACAACCATACATTCTCTTAAAATTCAGTCTTTTTTTCTTGCTTTGCTTTACTACCTTATCTAGGAGTTCATTTAGTTTTTCATTCTGTGTCTGCCATCAACATATCTTATGTTATGGTTGTACCCACTGCTAAAAAAATCCTGGTAGGATTTCTAGTTCTCTTAGGATTGCCTTGCTGTAAAGGTTGAATAAATCTGGTGAGAAGGTGCATCCTTGTCTTATGCCCAATAATGTTTCCTTATCTTGGAAATTCAGACAAGTGGATCGTTCAGTATCTGTCTATATTTCTGAGATGAGGTATTATGTGCTTTATTTACATTATTTGGACTATTGTCATCTTTGTCGCCATATTTATTACAATGTTTCACCTGAAGAGGGCCGGAGCATACAACGGCTGAAACAGTGTAATAAATATGGCGACAAAGATGAGGACAATAGTCCGAATAATGTAAGTGGATCTTTGTTTGAAATGAAATGATTATTAAGTCATGTAGTCTAAAATTATCTCATGAGTGGATATTCCTACAGATTTTTATTTTTCTGTTTTTTTTTTTTTTTGTTTTTATCCAAATTCTGAAATAGAAATCAATGAATAAAAGGACAAAAAATGCAGTGAGGGTGTTGTTCACATAGATATTTAATTCTTCCTATATTTACAAGGAATGGTGAAATACCAAAACAGCTTACAAATCTTTAACAAACCATGTTGCCAAGGAAATAAATTCATTTATCAACCAAACCTCAATAATACATTTAAACAAATGTTTTCACATCTCTGACATAAAAAAAAAACAATTTCCAGTGATGTGTTTTTTCATCTTTTTGCTGTAGGAAGAACAGGGAGAAAAAAATTTGAGGGGCCAGGGATCAATTCGAGTGCAGGAAAAAAGAAGTTAATTTCCACAACAAAATAACAACATTTGTTTAAACAATAAAGAAATAATGATATTGAATTTAGCCCTTTGCTTGGTAAAAAATAATTAAAGAAAATTAAAATAAATTAAAAAAAACTTTCACAAAACGTGTCAAAAATTGGAATAGCTGGCTTTGGTTGTGATATCCTGATCAGGGAGTTTCCTTTTTCACAAATTAAATAAAATAGTTTTTCAAAAAATACTTAAAAAAAAAAAAAAAAAAAAAAAAAAAATTAGCAAAATCTTTGTAAAATTTCAATTTAAATGCCACAAACTGAATGCAAAATTCTAATATTATCAAAAACTGATAATTATTGAATGTCATTAGAAATCAAACAAAATTTGAAAGTTGTTTGACAAAAATTTGGACAAAGTTAATCTTAAATTTAAACTTAAATTATTTCTCAGATCCTACAATAAATTTAAAGTCCATAAAAACATTATTCTGTTAGAAAAAACAAAAAAACTTTGAATAATTAAAAAAAAAAAAACTAATATTAAAAAGCCTGAAGAAAAAAAAAAAAACAAAAAAAAACAGCAACATTATGTTGGAGATTTTATTGCTGTTGGTTTTTAACAGGATCTGTCTTATTAAATGCTTTAATTTCTTTATGAAATCATTTTGTTATAAATTGCCAAATAAATAAAAGCAGGTTTGTAAAAACTGAACCTTAAATTCAACATTTTTGATATCACAAAGGTTTATAGAAAGGAAGACATTAAAATTTGGTTACATTTTATAATTCAAGAAAATATTTTTAACATTATATTTAGAAAGATTTATAAAGGGTTTTATGAACCTTGTGAACATATTTCATAGAAAATATCTGAATCACAACAACAATGTATTAATATTTTATAATAAAAATTATTTAGAAATAAAATCATATTATATGAGACTTTAATTATATATATATATATATATATATATATATATATATATAAAATTTTAAATTAATTTGTTTAAGTATATTTTAAATAGATACTTATATTTTGAGTAGCTGCTCTGTTTTTATTTATTTATTAAATAGTATGTTTATTTATTTGCATCTACTAGCGTGAATATTCAAGGAATCTTGTTAGAAAAATATGCACCCACCGACAGGATTCAAACCTGCGTTACCTAGGAGAAACTGTCATTAGATCTGATGTGCCTTACACCACTCGACCATATAGGCCAGTAGCTGTAAATAAACATACTGCTTAATAAACAAATAAAAACATAGCATCTACTCAAATATGAGTATCCATTTAAAAAAAACAAAAAACGTTTAAACAAATAAATTAAAAATGTCAGATTTAATCCATTTCCTATATATATATATATATATATATATATATATATATATATATATAACATTTAAGTATTGTATAATTATATATATCATGATTTTAAACAATATTATATCAGAACTACAACAATGCAAGTCATTAACAATTTCACTGGTTTCAAAAGAGATTAAAGTCTTTAATGTTATTATTAAAAAAAAGAAAACTTAAATGAGAAACTTGTTTCCTGAATTAAAATAATTGACTGATAACATATTTTCAGGTAATAAATACCAGTTAAATAATGATAAATATCATTTGTGATTATTTAGGAGAAATATTTTTTATTTTTATTTAAAAAATGAAAATAACATTAAAAATTCACCTGAATGATTTAAAATCTACAGAACAAATATTAATAAAAAAAGGCATGATGGTTGTTTTACTTGGGTTTTAAATTTGGGATGTACTTTAAAAAAAAAAAAAAAAAAAAAAAAAATTCAGCAATATTATTAGTCCATTTTGAGATCATAGAAAACAAATTTAAAAAAACAAAAAAAATCCATTTTAAGTATGGAAAATTTATCCCATAACTTTTGCGGAAAAAAAAAAAAATCCACAACCTAAAACATTCTCTACTTAGATGTAACAAAGAAGTTTAGCCTTTAAAACAGCAGGGGGTCATGTAACCATGTTTAACAGCAGATTTTATGGTCAAATCTTATAATTGTTGTCTAAAATTTTTATCTTTCATTATTTCCAACCTTAATATAGTCAAATGATTTGGGAAAATTAAATCTGAATTATTGGAACACAGTGTGATGGAAAGTTAAATCTATTCTTCAACTAAGAGGAAATATACAGATTTCAAATAATATTTCTATGTCTACTGGAATATAAAAAGAACTGGGTTCTAAAAATATAAAAATCCTAAAAAATAATAAAGAGCTTAATCCCTAAATAAGGCAGAGCAATTTAACATTATATTAAAAACAGAAAATTACCAACTCTTGGCAAGTATACTTCCATCTTCAAACACTCTAGGCTTCAAGTTCTAAGATCCTAGTACTGGAGAGTCAGAAGGCAAAAGTATACTTGTCAAGAATTAATGTGTTCTGTGTATGTGTGTGTGTGTGTATATATATATATATATATATTGAAACAAGTTTTATTAAATTCTACTGACAAAGTTTGTCCATTCAACTTTTATTATATTTTTCCAATTTCTAAATGAGGTGTTGTACATCACGATTGAAGTTATGAATAAATTGACCAAAGTTCATGTTTTTTTTCTATTTATATTCAAGTACTTTCGACTATCACAGTCATTGTCAAAACCTGGGTGTTATCAATGTGGTAAATGAAATTTATTTGGCTAAATTCTGGCATTTTTAGATTGCTGGAATTAGAGTTGAAATCAGTTCAAAGTGATGCCATTTGGAATGGCTAAATGAAAAAAAAAAATCATGTACTGAATATCTGTACAAGCTCTCATTTTTTAAAAATTATGCACAGTAATAGACAGACCTTGTTGGTAGAATTGAATAAAATGTGTCACCTAAATATGCAAACCCACACACAAACACACACATATATATATATATATAACAAAATAAAATCACAAATCCTGACCATTGTAAAATATATTCCTGCCTTTTTGAATATGAATAAACAAAATATGTATATAACATTTGACAATATTTTTATGAATCACTATTTTATTTCAGAAATTCTTGGAATAACGGTAGTTAGAACATTGAGTTATGTGGTCTCTGAATACATCTTCAGTATTGGTTTCATTTAATTCATTCCCCTTAGAAGATATTTCTAACTCTGCAAGAAGTGTATGTTGCTTTTTCGAGGTTTTGTTTAGCTGCATTTAGGTTATTTAAAGCTGAAATCTAAATATTTTGTATGAAATTTTATTTTTTGGATATTATAATAGTTCTAGTGGTACACGTCTTATTATTTAACCCACAGCTGGGGTGAGATGAGGTGGATTCATATCTTTCACAAAAGATATTTGTGTGTAAGTGAACATAATGAACCCAACTGGAATTGGAGGTCATGTCTCAGAGTTCAAATTCCGAGCTGTTATCCATTACACCACCAGCACAACCAAGCTTACAGCATCTGGTATCCCCAAGTGGTCACCCATCTAGGTACTGACCAGGCTCGATATTACTTAACTTTAGTGATTGTATGGGAAATGGCGTTTCAATGTGATGTGGCCGTAAGCCAAGAAGTGTATGCATAAATTTAGTTTAAGATAGACAGCACCCATAGACAGTAGGCATTTATAATCTACAGTGTTAAGAAAATAAGGCTAAAAAATTTTCAATGGCAAAATTTGGGTAGCTGGGACTCTTTATTTGATGATAGTAACCACCAACCTCACAGCAATAGTAACAGATTAGCCTAATAATAAAACATGATAGAAATTGAGATGGACTCTAATCAAGCAATAGAATGCCTACGGAAACATTTCATGTTAAAAAGCCAACACAGTTGGCAGACATGGCATTGAAGATGTACCAACAACCCTCTGGATCTGAGAAGTTTATTTGATCTCTATTCATCAAGATAAACATTCACTGTTATTCACAGGCTATTGGAAATACCAAAAAACTGAATATATGACAATGAACAATCAGTTGACAAGTCATAGCAGAAACCCAAATGACTCACTGATCAGAATTTATATCACACCAATCCCATAATGCAACAGTCATAATTTTACAAAAATGGGAAAAAAATTTTAAATCTTTGAAATTAAAAATAGTTAAAAAATAGGATGGAATATGATGAGGAGCTCCACCCACATATAAAACAAAAACCAAAAAAAAAAAAAAAAAAAAAAAAAATTAAGTTAGGCATTGATATATTTATAAATAAGAATATTACATCAAGTGTGTTATCAATGTATTTTTCATTTAACATTTTTAATAACGTTGACATAAAAATTATCATAGAGGTTAAGGAATGGAAAAGAAAAAAGGCATTTTTTTTTGTTTTAATCACACACAACCATTTTTTATACAGTAACAGCCAGCTAGGTTTAAAAAAATTAGAATCCACAAATCAAGATTAATAAGAGGTAACTGATTAAAAACAAAGAATTTACAATGGAAATTGTTGATTTCACAAAAATGTAAAAAGAATTAATGAAGGATTTAATGAACAAAATAATTTAATCTTTCCTGGTAACAGTCAGTCATTTGTGAAGTGGTTTTCAGATACCAAAGCTGATTTTGCAGGCTTGGTGAGTACCCAGGTAAATAAAAGAAAAAAAGAATAACTTAATGATTTAAATTCACAAGTGTTATTTTTCAAGCTGTCCTATAAGTAATGTCTGTTTTTGTTATATTTTTAAAATAAATTTGGATATGTAAAAAATTTTCTATTTATTTAAAGAAAAATAGAAACTCATGCACACACATTATATATATATATATATATATATATATATATATATATATATATATGATGAAAAAAAAATTTTACTATATGAATGAACTAAAAAATTAACTAACATATAAATTGTTTTTAACCATTTGTTCTTCTAGGATGCTGCAGTTATCAAATTTTCAATGTGAGGTGATTGTTCTCTTTAAGAAAGAACATCCAACTTGTGAACTGAAAAAATGCCAAGAAATTTTGCCAGAGTTGTTTAGTTTGAACACCACATCTAACATTTGTGTTTTTGTTCTGTCTTAAGCTACTAAATTTCTATTCTTTGCTTTTGTTTCAAATAACTGTAACAAAAATTCCAACAATTAAATAAACTGTACCAAATTTCCTGTTTTTTGTTGGGCACCATATATAATCAAAATTAGATTCTGTCAGATTGAATTACTTAGATTAATCGCTGAAGATCTACAAGTCATGTTTAACTAAGTAATATTTTTTTTATATACGTATTAACATGTTTATAAATATGTATAATGAAGTGTGTGTGTGTGGGTAGGGAGACCTGAATCTCCATTACAATATTTTATTCACTCCAATATTTCATTAGTTACTCTTGGCCAGTGTGGGTGTGAAGCAGGTCCCCCACACCTGCCTGTGGTGTGTTAGAGACTGCCCATCATGTGTGGGGTGGTTGTTTATATATCCACCTAACTAACATTCTCGTGCTTTCAATAATAGATGCAGGTCATGTATTTCTGCATTCCGTGGCTGGCCGTAACCCCAGGTCAACCCCATGGTGCACCTGGCTTCCTTTGATGGTCTGGTGTGAAATTTGAGTGTAATGTTTATTCTGGTATAATGCCACACATGAATATAAATATATTCATTTGGGTAAACATCTATTCCATTTTGTATACCTTGTCTACTTGAATTTTAATAATCAATCATAACTCCTTTCCCTTTTGCTTCTGTCAGCTTTTATTAATATTGAGTGGTGTCATTATCTACGAATAGAATGTTAGAAACTTTCTGCTATTCATGATACATTACTATTTTTAAGAGAATTTATTTGCTGAGAGATTTTTTTTTAGACATAAATGAAATAAAGAAAATGAAAAAAAATGATTTATTATCATATTACTTTTTTCCTGTAAAGATTGATTTCATTTGCAAAAAAAAGAAAAAGAAAAAAGAGATTGGACAAAATGCACATTACTTACAGGACAACCTTATAAATTATTCTTAAGGACAACTCATTGTTATGTAAGACAGTATTTACACGACAAGATATGCTATACAAAGTGATATTTGGTGAGATTGAGGACTGTAAATGTGCAAGGTATTGTTTAAAGCAACATACTAGAGGTCATGAGGTATATCCTTTAAAACCCAGTACCAGATAGGTGAGGCACATTAACCTTAGCTGGTAACTCAACTAAAAGAATATTTTGGACTTGTGAAACAGTAGTGCTTAATGGATATCTTAGCTGCTACTGATATGGACAGATTTAGTTAGTCACCGCAACAAAAAGTCTAGCATGAAGTTGACAAATAATACAAAATAGCATTTTAAAGAAAGGTTAATATTGATTACACATCTCATATAAAAATTGGGGATTCATTTTAATTTCTACACAAGGAAAGGAAACAATATTTTTAAAATACTAGTTAGTAGATAATGTATTCAATAACTGATGCATCAGATTTTTTATTCCTTATATATTTCACAACTTGTTCCTTTTTCAAAAGAAATACAAAATTAGACATTACTTATGAGATGGCATGAGTGAATTATATATAATTGATTGACTGCTATATATATATAAGTTCACACTGAGGCCAACAAGTGGAGACAGTTTCAAGTTTGAATGCTTGGTGTTGACATCAGTGTACACTTTTATATTTACATATGCTATTTTATCCATAAATTTAGCATAGCTTATATAAATATGAGAATACAGAAAGTCACCTCAATAATGTGTAGTGAGAGTATATCAGTAATGTGTGAAGTATCCAAAATTTATATTGTGTCAATATAACATAAATTTTGGATATTTTTATGCATTATGAGCATACATTGCCATTACACATTTTTGCTATGATTTTCTGTATTCTCATGTATTGGATTTAACTTTCAAACACAATATATATGTATATTCAAAATATTAAATAAAACTGAATGTCAATTAAAATTCAGCTTTTGGTGCTAGTACCACTGACTTGAGTACACAAATCAACCTAAATGTACCAACCTTTTACTCAATATCATTCAGGCCATTGTATATGCCCTATACTCATTAAATCTCATATAGATAGATCTTATGGAATAAATACTTACATTTCAGTGTTGTCATGGTTCAAAAAGATATATTTTTAAAGATATGCAATTATCCTTTACTATATATATATATATATATATATATATATATATATATATATATATATATATATATAAAGTAACAATCTGCCCTATATTTAAACATCTTTTATTAAATAGAACAGACAGAATGTTTGTTGAGCCTTTTGGTGAGTTAAAACTCTGAATATTACAATTTTGGCAAGTTCTTTTACAAACTTCCACCTGATAATCTACAAAAGGCTCAACAGATATTCTTTGTCCATCATGTATGTTTATATAATATCAATAATAAAATGACAATACAACTCAAAAAATACAGAAAAATTATGAGAATTTAACATTTTTCAGGCTAACAGAACTGCCAAAAAGCATTTAGATAACTAGAGCTATAGTATTCAATAAATCAAGAAAACTTCAAGTGACCTATTTGGTTGACTAAGAGTTTCACATCAAAATGTTCATCAGGGCCAGATTTTTGATAAATAAATAAAACAAGTTTGATTTATCAAACATATATATGTAATAATCCTTAACATATCAAACTGTAATATATAAAGTGAGAAGGTCTTAACTGAAACTAACCATTTTTAAAACTAATAGAAATAAAAATGTATCATTTTTAATCTTCAAAACATAATAGAATGAATAATAACAGAATATAATAATCTCCACAACAAAATATAGAATAGACAACCTTCATAGGTTATTTTAATACCATTTTTTTATTAACTGTAACAGTAGTACAAATAATTATTACTTTAATATGCTTTACACAAAATGGGTGATTGATTCAGCACATATATTAAGTTTAGTAAGCCATTTTAGTGGACATAAAATGGGTGCTCAGTTTATTACTAAAATAATGTAAGAACCAATTCATATTTTCTTTCAGTCCATATAATAAATACACCAAGTATAAACTTTTTATGTCATTAATTACTTGTTTCTGAGAAAATAAACATTTGCTCTTTAACTTCTGACAAACTGAAAAAATATTTTCCAAAAGCTCCAAGAGGGGATTTTATATTGCACAGCATCTGGGTATGATACAATCACAGTCATGGTTTTTTTTTTCCCTTCCTTTGTTCTTAACATTCTTATAGTGGTCAGGATTTGTAAAATCTTGCAAATATCTTAAGCCTACTTTTCATAGTTTTGAGTAATCAGTATTTTACCTTAGGAAGCTTATCTGAAAACTGCAAAACATTTTTCCTTCAATAAATATGTATTTAGAAATAGTGACATATATTTGTACAACTGTCTATCTATATATCTATATATGCACATTTTCAGGTTGTTGATATATGACAGAATACAAAAATATAAAGAAAATAATATTTTTAGTCAATTCACTCTGAAAGTTAAGATAGCTAAATTAAAACACTTATTAATCATCTCACATCCAGGTTTTAAAAATTTCAACACAATCTTAGCAATGGTTAGTATATGCCTGACCATCTCTAGTGT